AGACAGCTCTCGAGCGACACCTTGAAAATCCTTTTTCAAATCTTCGTATGCTACAAACTTGATACAGTTTTCATCCTTGTGTTGCAACCAGCCTTTAATATGATAAGGATACCATTCTCCTTCTGGAGTAGAATCCCATTTTTCACCTTTTATCAATTGTCGGACAAACTCTTCAAAGTCTTTAGGTCTAAGATGTTCTAGTTCGGATGCATATGGAGTGTTTTGCATGAAGTGGAAGTAAGACACTGCCATGTCTTTAGGATTTCGATAAACGTAAATCACTTTTGCCTCCATCTCTTTGATTTTCTTGAAATTCATCAATTCCTCTGGAAGGTGAGTGCAAAATATTCGGGGACATGGAAAATAATCAGTAACTATAAATTTAGCTGGTGGACCTTGATCAAATATCTCTTGTGCAGCAAGTAAAGGGTTGTTTGATCTCTCATTCATGATATCCATCGATTTCTGGTCTCTTATAAAATATATTTGTTTCACAATTTCTCGAACCCAATTTGTTCCACATTTAGGATAAGTTACAACAAAAACGTCACCCTTGCGAGGGGTCCAATTCTCATAAGCATATTTTGCAGTTTCCATCGAGTAAACCGGAACACCTTTAACATTCTTCCAAACCTGTGGTCTTAGTACCCTGGTTTTCATGAATTCTCTTACTTCTTCTGCTTTACGTCGTATATCCTCAGGAAAAGAGGCAACAAAGTCTGCCATGCTTCTTGATTTTTTGAATTTTTGCAAGTGCTGGGATGAAAAGCTACTTGGCTATGCGTGAAGTATACTAAATATATCGTGCAAATTTGCATTCCTCAGCTTAAAATAAAGCAATTGGTGAACAATACATTGAGTGAGCAGTGATATGTGTTAGTATTTACATTGACAAATCACACATATATATATCGTTGGTAATAATCTAATCTCTCTATATATAATGCTGTTTTTATGTCGACAAAATGGTACTCCTGTAGCATGCGAATTAAGATGGCGGACACCGGAACGTAGTATGTGTACCAGGTTAGAGTTAGGACATAATTTTATTCCATTTCCTATTTAGTTCTATTACGAGTTCGGGTACTAGCCCTAACCTGGTACACATACAACGTTCCGGTGTCCCGCCATTCTTGGTTCACATACTACGGAGTACCGACAAATAGTCATATTCGAGCAAGGACACTATGATAGCAATTCATAAATCACATGGATAGAACTGTTCGCATGTCGCTAATTTGACGTCACTATAAGATTGCTAACAGGTTGTAAAAAAAGGGGCCGAAAAGTGTAACGTTTTATAATAGTCCATGCTTGAATTTCAATTTTTGCAAGGGTGACGAAAACCGGTGACACGTCATAATCATTTGGCGAATTACAACTTCGCTTTTTAGCTAAATTGCAGATTTCGTGCCGCCGTTTCCGACATTCTAAAAGATACTTTTGTAATTTTAGTCTAAAACTACGTAGCAGCTGACAAAATAGCTCTGATCATGTTAAATTATGATGTAATTTGCTTCACCCACATATTGCGCGATTGTAAAACTGGCATAAGAACACATGCGTCCGTTTTCAAAGTTGATTCCGTTCCGCTATGAGGTATTTCACTGGAAAACTAATTTTGGAAATAATAGACATTGATTGTTTTATTAGGAAGTTTGGTTTGAGTGCTGTATCCGAGGGCATGTCATTAATGCCTGAGTAAATAGTCCTTGTATGTATTTTATATTTTTAGGTTCGTAGTTGTACAATGAACTATAATGTACTACGACTATAGTAAGGCCCTAGAAGACCCATCGAAGTTTGTATACAGCCCCGTGCCTTGCCATTTCTAAATCCACCTTTTCTAATTTTGCTAGAAGCTATATATTAGTTGTTTGTAGACTGACACGATTACAGCAGAAAAGTAATTAAAACAATCACTTGAAGATTATCACAATAACTTTTTTCAAATTATAAGATATTAGATGAGATTAACAACAGCTAGTTCATCGTTTTCCATACTTTCCCAACTTTTTATTCAAATGCTAATATTTTTCTATTTATATACTATACTTAATATAAATATTTCAGTCTGATCCTCAATCAATTACAGCGAGCCATAATATCCCGGTTTCGTGTATATATAGTGTCCCATTGCTGTTGGTAAATCGACCGATGTTAGTCGTTTCGTTAAAAATTAACTTCAGGTCATAATCCCAAATGTATTAAGTATATGTTGCAGCAATAAAAGTACCCCACACGCGATATGCGGATAAAAACTGCTACGAACAGGCAATTCTCTATTAGGTAGATATAGGCTTGCACGTAATTGACAAAAATCAATTTCGTAATTACGAGCAAATCGATTACGTAATGACCCCGTAATTGCGATATTTTTTCACGCATTTAAACCTATCATAACAACCAATGGAATCCACTTCTTTTCCGAATGGGACATCAAAGTTTGATTTTCATATTTCTGGCAGTACTACACGCCGGCGACAGATGTTAAAGACAAATATCAAGGAGTGGATTAAAATTAATTTTATTCTGATTTTTATCTGTTGTGTTAGCTTTGATTTTCCTTTATCACCTCGCAAATTAACCTCCCAATTTTATGCGATCGATTTTATCATTACCGACACTGGTATACGGATATCTATGAAACGATAATTGACTTTTTTTAAATCGACTTTCGTATTAAATAAATAAACATTTCGAGTTTCTAATTTATTAATCAACGACGAGGGTATTCTCTCGTTTGCTTATACTCGCGCTTGCTTCACGACCCGAAGACTTGTTAATTGCACCGTTTTTAACATTATAGACTTTACTAGTTAGTTAGCATTTTATAATAAATATTGATGCCGACCTATTGACGATATTTCGATTACCATGCTTCATTTTACATTAAATTATTTCGCGGCCTAAATGTTATAACATTATGTGCGATAAATTCAAATACCGTACTTATATGACATGCCTTCTCCGAAAATACAAAGTTAACAATGCATTTTGTGACAATTTGCACTCACGAAAAAATTAACTTATTTTTCTAACTCAAGTCGACGATCCTATCGGCCAAGATTGACACAAGTTTGGACACAAGTGCCGGTGGTATTCGAGTCGACGATAAAATCCAAATAAGTTGCCGCATTTGGTAAAGACAGTTAATCATATTTGGCCGAAATATTGCGAGGCATTGTGGAAAACATATCGAGCAAGGCCAAGACCGGACAGGTATATAACGATAAAACCGGTAACAGAACATCAAGATTGTGTAATAGAAAATAAATCTCTCACAGTATAAACACACTGGCTCGTACTTGATTATATTTGATAGTAGTTAAATTGAGAATATTGAACTGTTAAGGACAAAAAGTTAATCGTCAAAATTCTTATATCTAGTTGCCTTGGTTAAATATAATCCAATGATCAGGACATTTTCAATTAAATACTGTACAAAGATAGGTATACATTTAGGCTACAATTTAGCTTTTTTAAAATTTGAATCATGCATTGTGGTGGGGAATTCCCACTATTTAAATACGGGTAACTATAAAAATAGAAGAGAATTCTGGATTCGATAAGTATTTTAGAACAGTGGTTCCAACCGCGGGTCCGCAAATGATTTTTACATGTCCGCGGGAAACCCCGTCGCTTAGTTGTTTCTCTGCTGATATGCCTTCGCCACAAGGTGCCGCTTTTTTTATTCTAATCACGTCCTCGCACACGAAAAACGAATAGCATGAAGTCCACAGAGAATTTTGAAATAAATAAAAGTAATAGCCTTCTAGCGAAAAATAAATCTTTCACCACTGAAAATTTCAAAGCAATTGGTCCAGTAATCAAAGAGAAAAACGACTTTTTAATAACGATAAATTTTCGTGTCGAGGAACAAGAACAACGTAAGAGAGCTATGCTCAAATATATGAACACGTCGCAAGGTGCCGCTATTTTTTCTTCTGACACATAAGAAACGAATCTCTTGAAATTCACAGAAATTTTTGAAATAAGTAAAAGTAGCCTAATAGCCTTCTGGCATAAAATCAATCTTTGACCATCGAAAATTTCAAAGCAATTGGTCCAGTATTCGAAGAGAAAGGCGATTTTATCATGACGAAGGAGAAAAAAAACAAGAACAACAACATAATATTGAAATGATCGTTATGTCCACTGACGTATCCAATAATAACAAAACGATCCATAGGTTCACTTACGTGTCCAATAAGAATAGCAATGGTGCATTACAAAATATAAATATTATTTGAGAAAGGTACAAGGCTAGTAATGGTTCATTATAATTAAAAATAAGTTCACGAAAATTTTAGGAATCGAACGCCCTGATCCGAAGTTACGTTCAGACTGAAAGTTGATTGATTGTGTGTGTATGAGCAAGAGTGTGAAATATCCTTTGAAACTAGCAATCCAATCATTCCACCCAACTGCCTATTTTGAGTGATATCGTAGTACTGAGAGTAACATGGATAAAAAAGTCATCGATTGTCATTTTTAGCTCTATATAAAAGAAAATTTGAATATCAGAATCCATTTAGCTCATGAATTTCAGTGAGGTCCATTTGAAAATACATATGAGAGAACAACTAAATGGAAAAACATATCCAGACTCATCATCTTCATCTTGACTGATTTCATTCAGCATAAAATTCATGACGTCAGACACGGGACTTTTAATCTGTCACCTATTATTTTCAATTAAATGAAGTTATTTTAATCTTAAAACTTTATAATATCTGAAATTTTTGGTTGCTCTTCAATTTTCACATAAATTGAATAGCACACTTCTTCCATCATCTCAACTTGATCGATCAAGCTTGCAAGTGTAGCCTTGACATCTGCTTTAATCTGTATAATATTTTGACATAATACATTAGTTTACTATTTTACTCTTTATTTAATAATTTATTTTTTTGCTATACCTTTTGATTTTCTGCGGATTTTGATTTTTCACTTCATCGCTTACCGTTTTCTCCGAAATTGTATACAGTATACTATATAATATATACAGGGTGTCTCAAAAGTACGGAATACACTTCTAATTTTGATTTGCTTTTCAGGTACTCATCATAGCGCGTTCATTTTTTTAGGAAACATAGTATGGATTACTAGTAAAATTTAGGCATTGTTTGCATTTTTCATCAACCTTCAGAATGACAAGAGATTAATCCAAGAAATGAGGAGCAAAATTGCTGTTTGGCAAGAAGCATATAAATCGCTTAGAAGCGTTTAGCATGAAAAATTTACTGCAATAGAAAAAATTACTAAAAATTAATTCGTTTTTGAAATATGTAAATTGTAAAATTTATAAAAGATTCCAAAGAGAATTAAGAATCGTAACAAACCGGAATCTTCGATACAACTAATTCCTCTTCGTCAACTACTGTGACAGGATGATTCTAAAATCTAAATGAATTGAAAATAATAAATGTGACTTTAAAAACAAATTACAAACGAATATAATGTACAGTGATACCCCAAATGCATAGGTTCTATCTGCGTTCATCACCAGCAGTCCCGCGTATTCATTATCCTGGGAATGCAAAAAAAGAGATTAACAATCGATAAGAAATTCTAATTGCCCGAGTAAACTCTTACCTTGGTATTCCCTTGTTACGTCACAATTATACAATATCAGGTGACTGATATCGTTTGATTAAGTTCGTGGAAAGACAAATACTTCATTTTTTACGGAGTCCTACGGGATATGGTATTTCACTCCGAATTTTTCTGTTTCTTCCTAATTAAATGAAACGCTGCTTTTTTGTTACATTTGTCAGACCGTATTTTCCTCGGCCTCGGTAGTCCAGGTCCTTATTTTATCGGTCCCGGTGCGAGACTTTCGTGTCGATATATTTGAGCATTGCTCTCTTGTTATATGCCGGATTTTCATTACGTCTCTGGAACTTATTGATAAATCAAACAACTCACGAGTTATTTTTTTGGCTATGGAAGCTTTAGCTAAGTCGCAGTACTAAAAAAAGTTGCAACCAGTACATGACAGCGCATTTCATTTCAATATTTCGTTGCAGGTCAGCGAGTACATTTCTTTTCCTGTAGCAAGTCCGCATACACTACCCTGTAGTAGGTTGTAAAACGAATCCTCGCGAGTCGTGACTGAATTTCTGAATTCTGAAACACACATTCCCAAAAGAAGTATGGAAAAGATTATCGAGCATTTATTTGGTCAAAGTAATTCATTTTCAATTTCAAGTGTATCTTAATTCTCCTTCATAGTTGTTGTAAATCATTGAAGAAAGAGGCACATCATGCATATCATAAAAAAACGACCAATCTGTCAAATGAATCCCATCACTGTTTCTCTCAATCACCTGTTTCCGGATCATGTTGAGTAAAAAACTCCAAGTCATAGGGGAAATACAAACTATTTCAAAAAACTAAAAGAGAACTAATTCATTGTTTCACTCAATCAACCAATTATGGATCATCTCCAAGTACAAAACAAGTCATAGTAAAGAAGCAAACTGAAAAAAGCAAAATAAAATAGACCTAAAAGCACCATACTTAAAGTGAATACCAGTAACTAAATTTTATCATCTATCGCCATGTATCCCGCAATGGCCACGCCTAAGTGCAGAATTCACGATGTACAGTAAGGACCATTGAATAACTATGACTTAGTACAATGAAAATAAGCATTAAGTAAAATGATTATAATTCGGAAATATGCACCGATATCAACTATTTGAATAACGCTAATAGTCTTTTTAAAAGGGAATGATAGTTTCGATTTCAATGGCTTCGAATTGGTGCATTTGAAGAAAAATTTGTAAACTGAAGTTCAATTCGATATGTATTTCGGAAATTGGGTTAGTGAATCAAATAACCAAAAAAACGAGAATATCGGTCAGAGACCGAAGACTTATCGATCGAAAGTCAGGGGATCCCAAAACAGCGCTTTTACTCCATAGTGACACCTTGTGTCCCATCACTAATTAATTAATAACTCGCTAATCATACTACATAATTCATCCAAAATCAATAGGCTTCTGGTACGACATATGATGAATGCACATGCAAAATCTGAAGCAGATTCAATCTCGTTTTCGTGAGATATCGTGTGCATCTAACTGACAGACAAATACCTATCAACATACTTACTGATTATAATCAATAAGTAATAAAGGAACGCAGTGTGAAACAGGTATTTAAAAGTGGAACACAGGACAAATATCACAACCATTCCAATATATTCACCATCAAATGTCCTGGTTATAATCTGAAAAAGTATGGATTGCCCTTGCGAAATAGCTGCGTAAAATGACGCTGGGGCACTTAGGATTCGAGTCTTATGATGAGCAATCATAACATGAGAAATTCTCATAAACTCAGTATGAGTGAGTGAGCAAAGTTGTTGTTTTTTCCAGTTTATACCATTAGCACAATAATTAAGTTTAAATATATTGCGAAATTGATGGAATGGCCTATTTTAGGTGAGAAATATAGATGATTTAGTTAATTTTTTTTGTGAATTTGAGATCATTGCTTTGTGCAGGTGGAAAATCAGTTTACAGTCAATGATGGATTCGGTGCATATTCAGTATTTTTTGTTTATTTAACTAAAATAAAAATAAGCATGAAAAACAAGTAAAGAAAATAGTAATTAGAAAAAGTAAAAAAAATATGGCACAAAAAAAAAATGAAACAGTCTTGACTAGACTTCAGCCCTTCCATTTTCACATAACTTTTTATCAATGATTTCTCTAAGATAGTTCATCTTGAAATTTTCGAAAATTCTTCTAAATTCTCCCAATCTTAAGGTAGGATTAATCTGAACAGACCTTTTAAAGATGGCCATCGCTTTTCCATGAGTACCTGAAATAGGATGATAAATGATTTTAAAATTATTTAAAATATTCCATAATTCTTATGGTATTTTAAGTCGTTGACCATGTTACATAACTGAGCTGAAAACTTGTTTATTTTAAATAAAATCCACCTTTTTTAACAGAATGTTATTGGGGGGATAAGATTTATATATTTATCCCGGGGATAGAAAATACGATTTACTAACATAGCAAACCATGGCCCCTCGTCAGGACGGGTATGGGATTAGTTAGCCATTTATTCGTAGCATGGACTTGATGAATGTTAAATTATGGATACCTTTATCAATTAGTAATATAAACAAAAAACGAGACTACGACTACTATTTAACTCAAACCTCCAGCCTGTAAACACATCACTAGATTCTCACCAAATTGTCAGCACAAGTGACAATGAATAACAAAATGTTAACGACATTAAAATGAAATGTATGAATAACTATAACAGCCATTTTTACTTTGCGGTTTTCCAAGAATGTCTTCAAGGCTTTGTGTTCTCTGCCTCAACAATGTATGACCAACTTTACTCAAATGTGATAATGTAATTTCATCTGCAATCTCCATCAATACATCATATCCTGAAACAGTTTACAATTGAATCAACACGAGAAAGAATTTCATATTTATTGCACATAGTCGTTAGTTCAATGTTGGCTATAGGTTAACTAGTTATTCGTTTCAGATGCATTGACTTGATAGCGGAAGAAATTTTCTTGCAGATACCTAATATCCCTTGTCGGGATGCGAATCTGCACAAGGTAAACAGAGGTGTGTGACCGGAAATGTATTACCAAGCCTTAGCATGATGAGCCAAAAGCCGAGCCAGAAAGAAATATATAGCTTGATTTTCCGTGGAAAAAAGTACTACAGTAAATCAAGTAATTTTATATTCATTACTGAAAAAAGGCATCAAGTGTATTCAATATACTGTTAGTATCGAAAATTTAAGTCTTTAAATTCCGATAAGGTTCAGTAAGATATATATTTGCTGTGTGAAATATCATCCATTATACAAATGTGAGAAATATTGTTCTACCCACGTTGATATTTCTCAAGTTCTGTAAGAGGCCGTGGTTGAACATCTGCCACTTCATTGCGTTGAAGCTGTTCTCCTTGTGGCTGGATTGGTGGAATTGCTCGGTTTTCATAATAATTGAAAGGTTGTGCATTAACGTCATTATTTCTGTGAAAAATGAAAACCTAATTCACAATTCATATCTACTGGACTTGTTATGAGGTGCTATGGTTTAGGTCAGGGGTGTGCAAACTAAGGTCCGCCGGCCAAATGCAGCCCGCAGAGAATTGCCAATTGTGTGCCCGCAAAAAGAGTTTGTAATTGAGGTAATCTGGTACGTACGAGCAATTCCAATATCTTTGAGTCGCCAAACCTATACCAGTACCTGAGTGCAGTGGCGCAGCCAGGGAGGAGGAGGGGGGCCCCCCACCTTTTGAATTTTTTTGAAAGCTTGAAAAGTCGCCGAAAAAGTGTGCAATTGCCTTCTGCTAAAATCGCCGATTGTTTTCATCAACGTGGCGCGTTATTTAGGCCGTAAACGCCCTTTGCATTGGTGTCTATACTCTCTAAATCACAAATTTGTGCCACGGTATCAATGATAATTATTTTATTTTTGTACTCGCACGGAATTGTGAGAACTGAACAAGTCGTCAATAACGCGTGCAATTGCCTTCTGCTAAAATCGCCGATTGCTTTCATCAGCGTGTTATTTAGTCTGTAAACGCCTTTACGTTGGTGTTTATTCTCTCTAAATCACAAATTTGTGACACGTTAAAAACATGATAATTAATTCATTTTTGTACTTGCGCGGAATTGTGAATTCGGCGAGAGTTATTATACGTTCATCGGCGGCGAGGTTTTAAAGACAAATGAAGGAGTAAATCTGTGACCTAAATTTTTTAATTGAAAAGCGGCAGTATAAAATACTGAAAATGACCGTAAACAATACAAGTCCCGCGACAGTCTAAAAACGCTTCTCTAGGCATTTAAAATCTCAAAATTCCGTGTGCCTTGGGCACACATTATGTTTGATCCCCGTTTAATAACAGGACATACCTAACTAAAATCGAAACACGGTTAATTGGAGGCGGGATTTTCCTTTTTATCCATTACTTTAGAATTGTCGTCGAAAATTTTCGTGTTATCATTAAACGACGCGATGGAAACGCGATTTTTCCCGGTTTGTGATGATATATAAGATAATTGAAGTATATCGATCAATTTTTATTGTACAGAAATAAATTTTACTCCATGAGAATTTACAGCAGATTCACGGATATTCGAAAGGTTTTATCTTTAAAAATAATCGAAATGGCAGCATCGCGATTGAACGGAGTCAGTGTTACAAGTACATCTCAAATTTGTCGAATTCGCGAAATAGTAAAAATAAGGATCAATACAATATATAATCGGCAGTTTACCACACATTTTATGTCCGCGAAATTCCGTGGTGTTTCAGAGTGGCTCTTGTTTTGTCGACGCAACCGCAGGTTAAATTGAAAACAATTAAATTAATGAAGCAGGACATTTTAAATATGCAGTATCGGTCGGGGATAGAATACTTTGCACAAGAGAAAACTTATTTATTGTTGAAAAAGTCGGCTCTTTAACCAAGTGGCGTAATCGCGGCGACTGTTCAGCGTGGATTTCGAGGCGGTGAATTTGTATTTTTGATTCACTGGTATACTTTATATCTACCGGTATGTTCATTGTATGAAGTAAACTTGTACTATACGGAATTTTATATCAGATATCGAGATTTTACTAACGGCGACAACGAGGTCGCAAGATTGCAAAAATACGTTTCAAAATTAAATACATCGAGCATCTTATCTCATATTTTTATCTCCACAGATCGCCGTGGTATTTTACTGCAATAATGTTTTGATTTTGACTTGAAGTTACGTTGGACACAATTAAATTAATATATAAGGACATTTTAAAATCTCGTAGTTGTCATGAATTAAATATTTTACGTGGCAGAAAATTCATTATACGCTGAAAAGGCGGCTCTATTAACAAGTGCGTCATCGTGGTGACTATTACAGACGGCACTGGAAATTTCCGACCCCTAACAATGCCATAATATCAATAACAAAAAGAAACAATTTGTGCCTGCTACTACTAGAAAGGCTATCATAAATAAAGGGGCAGCCCGCAGCTTCACCCAATTACTTGTATCTGGCCCCCCTGTAATAAAGATCGTACAGCCCTGGTTTAGGTCATAGCTACTCAACTATTTTCACCAAAGACCCATATGCCTTTTTTTAAAATTACCGGGGTCCAGTAAACACTTTTCACATTGGCCTAAATATATTCAGTGCTTTTAACTTGGAAGTTGGTTGAGAGGTAAAATACGATTCGTGTAAAACAGAGTTACCGCAAAAATCGAGATCATCAACCTGCATCGTTAATAAAGACAGAGCTATTCGTATTTTTCATTATGGCATCACAATGGTGCAAATATACGCAAGTAATAAAAAAATTTTCAAAACATGTAAATGAAGATACTTAATAAAAGAGTTCCCATATCCAAAGTTAATGGGGCTAATGCTGCAAAATAAAGAATCAGATGCAGTCTAAATAGGATACCTGAAGGGTCAGGGCCATGTTTAAGTCAAATTTTCTTTCTATGGGAAAAATATGGTATAAAGAAAAATATCCCAATTATCAGACGAGGTCAAAGTAGCACAATTCAAATAGAGATGCAAAAATCTTTACACATTTTGAATTGATACACTTACTCATCAACATTGTAGGCTTCAGCACGATTATTAAGCGGAACATTTTCTTCGATGGAATCTGATTCTATAGCAGCAGCTCTAAAATAAATGTTGAAAAAATATATCTAGTGGAGATTTAGCGGGCATAGTTGTTAAGATGAAATAATTATAGATGAAAACTTTTTTGTCCGAGGAGAGGAAAGTCAACAGGACGGTTCAATCATTTGGTTACCAGTAGGAACTAAAATTAAAAAGTTATTTTTTTCACATGCATGAACTTGATTGTGGTGGAATCCACAACGGACCAGCGGTTACATGGGACACCCTATGGCGGCGAGGAGTCCACAATCCTCTTGCATATAAAAAGAATAACGTCTTGTTCAAGGACTAATTGGCAACTACTGATTTATTTCGGTTTTGTGATTTTTATCACAGCATTTCCTGTGATGGTATTTATTGATGCTGATTAAGTTTTTTTGAATTTATAATTGGAATCAAATAAAAACTAATCCTAAAACCCAAGCCTGGAGTTTAAAAAACCATTAATAATATATACTATATGGATCTTAATTAATAATTTGAATATTTTAAAAAGCTCACATGTCATCTACATCTAAAATTGAAGAATTTTCCTCTTCGGATCTTGAATCAACAGACATAAACACACTGAAAATAAAACAAAACCAAAAGCTGTAATGGAAAGAGCACCTGTGCAAATAGTAAGATTTTTCTACTTATTCACGACTTCTGCTCTGAACAAGCAGCCACTGATATGGAAGGAGCTACTTTGTTTGGAGAACTTGGATCTTTCTATCTATCTACTCCTATCACTATCGGGCCATAACAATTTACATAATAAAGTTCATCAATATTACAAGAATGAAAAAATCACCCAGGAGTATATACTGCAGTTGTTGCTATTGGTGGACCAAATGTCTGAAAGATAAAATATAAAAAAGACTTCAGGCATAATCGGCAAATGCATTTGTGACCTTGATAAATTTGTCTTACCTGTAATAAGTTTTCTTATATAGGCTTGCTATAATGAAAACCCACAAGCACAACCACAAGAATTTACCAGTTCAGAAAATTCCATAGTACCAAAGTAACAAAATACTTTTAGCATGCTATATAGAAGAAAAGCTCATAAAAGGTAGCTAGACTATCAGATTTGACTATAAAATGAATAAACCCTTTTTAAAATTACATTAAGCTAAAACAAAAATAACTGAAAAAAGCATATGAATAGTATTGAAAAATGGGTACTCCCGAAGTACGTGAACCAAGATGGCGGCCACTAGAACGTAGTATGTGTACCAGTTTGGTGTTAGGCAATAATTTCAGGCACAAATACTACGGGAGTCACTTGGCTAGTCCCCGAACTCGTAATAGAATTAAAATAAGGAAAATTGGAATAAAATTATGGCCTAACCCTACCTGGTACACATACTACGTTGTGGAGTCCACCTTCTTGACTCACATACTTCAGGAGCATCAAAAAGTGTACATTGTGAAAAATATCAATTGTAAATAATCATTTATTAGCTCTAATAACCAGAAATTATCTAGTTTTGCAAAATCTAATGAACATATCAGATTAATAATCCTACCTGTGCAATCTTTCCATTACATTGACACCCTGCAAAAAAAGATGTCAGTTCATGGAATGATATATCGAAAAAGTGTATTATTATTGATTATTTCATTGTTTGGTATGCTGAGTATGGAATCGAAATATACTTATACTAACCCAATGACATTTTTATGGTGCACATTTTTTTATATAATAAAGACAGATACTGCCAAAAATGTAATAAATATCAGTTGAAATATTAAAGAACGATACTCACAAGAAAACACTTTGAAGTAGAGTATCAAACAAATTACCAATGCAGTAATAATTCCAATTGCTATAATAGTTGTTGTAAATGTCACTGTAAAATGGGGGTATAAAACAATTATGAAGTTTCTGTAATGCATTCAAGTTTTTGTCATAGCATATTCATTGTATTGCTACTTCACACAATAATCAAATTCAGAAAAAAAAGCAATTTCTGTTAATTTATATATTTAATATAAATTATTTGTTTGGTATACCAATCATTCCGATTTTTCAATTACCGTATATGCTCGTTTTACCGCCCGATCTTGATTAAGGGCCCGTTTCAATAGCTGCCCGTGTGAACAGAACATAAAAATAAATAAGGGCCGGTGCTCGAATACCCGCCTGATGTAAAAAGCTGATTTTTCAGTGGTAGAGAACAATAGGAAATAAGAAGCGCCTTTGTCACAACGCTGTTGAATTTTAAGCGCCGATAGATAACACTCACGCTTTCGGCGTCCAATTACATAACAGATAGCATTGATTACGTAACGTCGTAACAAAAAGCAGACTTTCCTGCCAAAAGCACAGAACTGATAGTATAAAAGGCTCCCATTTGTCTACCAATCATTCATTCAGAATATTGAACCCCACATGATGGCCGATGACAGAAGAAGAAAGCATGACCTATCACCAGTTGATGAAGATAACAAAAGGCACAAATTGCACAGCTACACACTTGAATTCAAATTGAATGTTATCAGTGAAGTGAAAAAAGGCAAATCAAAAGAGCCAACTGCTAGAACACCCATCTGGCTAGACATGGCTGCAGACAGCACCGTTGATTTTATTGGCAACAAATCAGTCCCTATCAAGACTACTGGCCATCAAAAAACAACAGTGACTGTTGTACTAGCTGCCAAGGTATGGTAGCAAGCTCTCACCTTTCATGGTATTCAAGGGTAAACGAGTGGATCCCGGCCTTCAGAAGGTAAGCGGTGTTGTGTGGGCTTACAGTGGGAATGGTTGGATGAATGAGGACTTGACACACACATGGCTTAACAAACTTTGGGGAACCTTGGCATTTTCTCGACGCCTGTTGTGCTGGGATGCGTACCGATTTCATATCCAAGACTCAACCAAGCAACTTCTATCCAAACTGAAAACAGATGCTGCTGTCATCCCCGGTGGCTGCACAAGTCTTCTACAAGCCCCAGATGTGTCTTGGAACAAACCATTCAAATCGTACTACCGTGAAATCTACTGATTGATTGAGGACTGATTGAATGATGGTGAAAAGGCAACAACAAAGGGCGGCGACATAAAACCTCCTACTCGCGTTCAGCTTGCGACTTTTGTAAAAGCAGCATGGGATAAGGTCCCCGCAGAACTCATCAAAAAATCCTTTATTGTTTGTGGTGTATCCAATGCAATAGACAATAGTGAGTATAAAGATATCAATGTGTTGAAACCAGACGTGATTTTGTATGCTGAACGTGACGATATTCTTTCCAAACTACAAAAGCTCACAGAGGCTAAAGATGACTTGTCTAACATACTGAGACTGTACTCGCTGAGGAAGAAGACGTTGGGGCTATAGCAGAAAACAAGCTTGGTGTTGATGAGGATGATAGTTTTGATGAAGAAAATAACGTACATTTGCTGAATAAATAAAAATTTTGATTTGTTGTTTCTTGTTAACCCTTTCCGTGCGGTGGGCACGTATACGTACCAACGACAAAAGTTGCTAGATTGCGGCGGGTACGTTGATGCACTCCACTGTTTCATTTAACAATCGGTCGCAAACTGTTGGTCTAGTTTTGTCGGGACTCGGGAGTTTAAAATAGAGTTCCTGAATCAGCATAAAACAATTTCATTTGATCGCCACATCGGCGATTAATTTCGTTCCTTGTCCGTTTCAAGGAAAGAAATAACGCTGTATTAACACATTCTTATAAATCGCTACGAATCTTAACATGCCAGACGCCTTAAGAAAGGCGCAGAAAGAAAACAAAATTGCTGTAACACAAATATTTCTTACGTTCATCATTTCTGTTTGTTAGCGACGGCCATAGATTCTTACTCGTAACTCTTACTTGTAAATTCATGTTAATAAAGTCTATATTGCTTTTCATGCGTCGTGATTTGTATTATTGGAAGGGATTGTTGGAAGGATTGGAACGGATAACATATCCTAAAGGTGATTAAAAGTTGCGCGGCGTTAATTGCCTCTACAGCGATAGCGCACCAAATAATAACGTTTTCAACACGAAACATCTGGCCGTAAATCGACTCTGTTGCACAAGCGAGCGAAAACAAACCAATCACAGACTGTACAAGTGTCACGTGTTAAACAACCAATCGCAGACTGTACAAGCCATCAGCTATATGATAAGACAATCCACCTTCACAGGCGATTGTGTGTGTGCGTGCACGCATTTTATCGTGAGAACTTGGTATGGCTTGACCTTGAAGCTTTTGGAATTACCGGCAAGTCAGCATAATATCATCTCCCTGCGTGATCAAATTCTGATGCCCGAATGAGACGATTTTTTGGTGCAATCTGAGTTATGCGCGAATAAGACGGTCCCTTAGTTTGGCAACTTTTTTTTTGGAGTTTTAAACTCGGCCTATTCGCGAGCATATACGGTACTCTTAACACATGAATAATTTGCGTTTGACGTGAATAAATTGACATGGAAAAGGATTGATGTTGTCAAATATTTGTCTCCGAAGATACCGTAATTTTTGTGTATAATTTTACTTTAAAAATAACAAGCGCCCGTGCTTGAATAAGGGCCGGTTTGAATAAGAGCCCGGTTAGTGAGTTTGGTTAAAAAAATATGGGCCTGGGCTACAAAACGAGCGAATACGGTATACATAGAAAGCATTAAACTATCGGTAATAATTGTATGTTGAATTTATGACATTTTATTACAATTTTACATCTGATACTAGAGCAGATGAAATTCTCAATAATACATGTATGTTTGAAACACAACAACACAAATTGGGTTTTGAACATTTTAAGATAAAAAGTAAATTTAATTTATTGTTATTTAATTGTCACATCCTGAATATAAATTCTCAGGACAGTGATTTTTAAAACAATATTAATACAAACCCACATAAAAGAGATTTCAATTATCAGAAGATTCCAGCAAATCAAAACATTCTTCGAAAATGAAATGGCAAAAATGCGAACTTATATAGTAATAGATAAGGATGGCATATTAACTAATCACATCGATACATAATGGGTACTTGAATATTTATGTATATAATTTATAAACAAATACATCATAAATATTTGAGATCACTAAAAAAGATATTTTTTTTATATTAGAGAGGCTTTTTGTTTTAATGCACTGATATCAATAGAAGCATGTACCTGTAACTACATTGTTGTTTGCATATTGGTCATCGATAGAATTCGATGTTTGATCGAAATAGGCAAGTGAAGATGCAGAAAACTCATCGGCAGTAGTTTGACGATAAACATCTTTTTCTTTCACATTGGTATCGGTACCTGCAAATATTACACCAGTATAAGATTTATATGGAGTCGAAATCAATCTATAATCTCCAAATCAAAGAAAATTTACCAAGTGATGGATTTCAAAAATTTGAAAAATAACAAGTTCTCTTATATATCGAAATCACTAACAACAGGAGCCTCATTGAGAAAACCACATTGCCAAATTTGCTACTGTATGTCACCATCATCACATTTGCTACATTTACTTGATACAATTTATATGAAACTAATATATATCCAAATACAGTAGGCTACTAGTCATAAGCTATGGTGCATGTCACTCATTTATTACGATCATCTTATGCCTAAAACAAAAAACAAGGATGAGTTCGCTGATTATCATGGCATTCTAAGAATGGGTTTGCAGGAACCCGTGAGAACATCCTCAATCCATGCAAATTGATATTGAAGATAAAACAGAAGACCTTATAAACGATGTACTTTACAACAGTCGAACATAGGAAATCAAGCATGTTCCAGTTAAAAAAAATTTTGTAACGCCAACCATACAACAACAATTACCACAAAAATTGATACAGTTTCTGATTGCATATATGGAGTGTCAATAAAAAGTACTAAGTGTGCTCTATGAAGGCAAGTAAGTTCGAAGTAATATTCGACAACACCTCTGCATGAACAAAACCCAGAAGTCTATTTTATTAATTATTATAACACCAAATATCCAAGTTGAATACAAATGTTCCTAATTTAAGTTTATCATATGTGTTTAATAAAAATTTGTCAAGGATTGTTTTGTTCTCAAGGATAATAATACCAAGAGTCATTGTAAAATTATCCAGAAGGAACTTGATCTAATGTTTTTCACAATACTCAAATATAGCAAGAAAAGGATGATGTAATGATAAACAATGACTTGACAATATAGGTGTTTAGAGCGGTAAATAGATTTGTATCATTGTATTGACAGAGGGTCATGAGACACTATCCTACAAGTTGTCTACTTGAATTATATGAGAACCAACAAAACTAGCAAACAATGAAATAATTACTACCATACTCATAATACCTTACACATGCACAGTGCAAAGTTATATGAAAAAGTAAAAAAAAATTACATGACAAACATGATAGAAAGTTATATTTCAAATTCCTAACAAAGCCATTTGTTTTCAATTTAGATAGTTATTGCAAATTATGTGTGATTAGTATGAAAAAAGTTGGCCATGAATTCGTTTCTCTTATTGAGAGAGGATCAAGATTATGTTCACCAATACTGATATTATATTTGCATTTGAAGGCATTCAATGTTTCAGATCCATGCCATTTCTCAATGGTACCATTGACATTGAAAAGGGCTATTTTAAAGGTGAGTTATTATTATATAAATTTTGTTGAATTCAATATCATTTTCGAAGAATTTTAGTGCTAATTTTAAACATAAAATCGATTTAGTTTTTAAGATATGAATTATTGAAAGACTGCACAGCAAAAATTACCCCAAATGACATCTTGTCCTTATCATTAGTACTTTCATATTTATACAGCTCAAACTGTTTGAGAATCATGTAATACATAAACCAATATCTGTCCAATATTACAATGTTTACTTTTTTTTATCAAATTACATAACGTAGGGAGTTACTGACTGACATTCAAGACGCTAGAATTAAATACAGAAAACAATGGCATCACATTACTTAGGCACGCAATAGCAATACAAGTTCTGGATTGGTTTGTCAAAGTGTTAACTCTAAGCAAATTATGAGTGCGAAAGTGTTTCGCAGTCGAAAAAAAAGTGCGAAAGTGCTTTTGCCGATTTTAACAAGTTAGATGCCCTAGCCTTTCATATAACCCATTTAAAACGGCATAGATACTCGAAAAAGCGCTCCTCCGGTTAATATTATAAATTAAGGAGGAGCCTTTTCGTTAACCCAGTTCCCTTTAAGCGAATTCATGTTTAATTAAAACAAGCGAATTCATCGCAACGAAATGACATCTGCTAACACCTGCCGCGGACAAAACTTTCATGCAATGTATCACAGTGTCCTTACTCGCGTAAACAGCAAAGACTTTCACACTTGTTACTCCTTCCATCTAACAGACACGAGGCAGGCTGGAAACCATATTAGTTACACGGTGGATCGTTTGTACAAATCCTGTGCAAAATAATTCCCGCAACCCCTCCCCCCAAATATAAGTAGCAATCAACTAATTAGGGTTAGGTGCGCTGGAAATTCAACTTTTCGATTTATCCCTAAACCTAATCTGATAATTATTAATTTATGATTTTGAACCACTTTGAAAGTCGCCACCCGCTGTTTTAAAAGATAAGTTAACCTACGTTCCCTCCGAAATATTACACACGATACTCCCCTGCTTTAGGAGATAGGTTGACCTACTTTCCTTTCAAACTTTTTTCTCTGAAATATTACACAACATCACTTTGAAAATCCTCCCGTTTCGTGAGCTAGCGTGACCTAATTTCTCATTTACATTTATATTATACTATTTCAGAGCTTACCCAAAGACAAGTAATTTTTAAATGTCGACATGCCTTGGTTTGCGTGCGAGTTAGTTTAAATCGGGCAGAAAACATCATATATTGGCAAAATGTTTAGTAATGTCATGTACTTTCAGCATTCATAAATAGCACTCTTCGATATCCTGAACGCTGATATCCTAAAAGAAAGAGAATTACGCATTCTCAGATATCGGACATCCAGTCGCGATATTCAATCGTTCATATGCACAAATCTCATATTAATAGTAATTGCTAACCAAGTTTGTAAAGTTTAGAAACCAACAAACAGAAAATAACTTGTCCTAAAACACAATTAAAATTCAGTCGGCAATAAATTCGTCGCCAAGACAATGCCATACAAAACAAAAAAGATTTGGTCGCCAGAGTTACGTGAGATGACTGCCGTTGTTTTTTAAGCAGAATGTAAAAAAAATTATAATTAAGAAACGGGAGTTACGACGCCCTTTACACATCGTGTGTATCAAACTTCCCTGGTAAGTACTATTATTATTGTACCTATACACCTGTTGAAGTATTTCGGACAATTTCGAATTTAAAATAAATGAAAACCCGACATATAATAAAGACGCAAAAGTAAAATGAACATTTATTGAAAAAGTTATTATTTAAGAAAGACAACATGATCGTACAATTCCGCCAAAACCCCGATGTTCGCAATGGAGATGATAAATAAATACTTCCCTGTATTCGATCAATTAACTTTAGCGTATCGTTGTTCTGCCAACAAACAGCCGGGTGCAAAATATTTCCGTCCTGTGATATGCTCACAAATATTCTCGATATTGATATCATACCCTCGCGTATGTACTTTCTATTAGCTTTTTAGGAATCCCTTCCATCCTTGGCCAGGTCATGTTTCGAATATGTGAACATTTTATTCGACCATACATGGCCGGCGGGATGTTAAAATTGTAAACAAGAGAGAGGTAAAATCAATCGTGAATTTCGTTATAACGGTTCGTTTACGAATTGCTGCGCCTGTTATAGTCGAAAATGAGAACATTTGTTGTATTTTGAGGCATTTGGGCAGTAATAATTAGGGCATGACATCATCAAAATCGTCAAGTGATTTCTTGAAATTGCAAATTCCTTAAATAAAATTGTGAATTATTCGGTAACGAATTCAGCTTTAATGACCGTCGGGGCTTTGTTTTGTTGAAAATTATTATTGATGTGAGAGCGCCAAAAACATACAGTCCATACCGATGCGACTGCAATTTATATGGTCGCAATTGGTGTGGCGCGTTTATTAATAGTGTAAAATAAATTAAACGAATATCAATTATAACCAAGCCTGTCAGCGAGTTTATTTTCTGTGGGCAGGAATCGTAAAATACCATCTTGAGACAAATTCACTTCTATTATAAAACCTTAATTTTCAGTTATTATCGTTATACAAATAACGTGTGGCAACTTTTTAATTTATCGTCGACCAAAAAACCGCCCCACACTCGTCCAAACGTGTGTCGAGCTTGAACGACAGGAACAGATTCATCGACGACCTTAATTAGGGAAAATATGTATTTTATTGGGAATGCAAAATAAATGTAACAAAACGCATTTTTTGTGATATAACTTTGTATTTTCGGAAACGGGTTGCCGTGAAAGGTAAAATTTGATCTAAATTAATCGCAAAAATTTTATTTTAAATGTAACAAAACACATTTTGCGATATAACCTTGTATTTTCGAAAACGGGTGTCCTGAAAAGTAAAATATGATCTAAATTAATCGCAAAAATGTTTTATTTTAAATGTAACAAAACACATTTTCGATATAACTGTATTTTCGGATACCGGGTGTCATGAAAGTAAAATATGATCTGAATTAACCGAAATATTTAATGTCATTTCATAAATGTATCATACGTTTTTTTGCGATATAACTTTGTATTTTCGAAAACGGGGCGTCACGAAAATTATTAATCTAATGTTTTATCTATCGTCTAACTAACGTCTGGAACACATCATTTTCGGGGAGAACTCTAGCCCGCGAAACGTCATTTAATTTAAAATAGAGAATGTTTCACGCATTTCAAAACGGAAAATCACCAGTAAGTGGACAGGGATTCAACCCTCCGGATTCAGTATTCTATATCCCCGTGTCAGAACTTTCTGAAGAATGGAACAAAGAACCCGTCAAACCGCCGCGGAAGAAGGGGAGTATTTTTTGCACTAATAATTAGGGCGTGACAATATCAAAATCGTCAAGAAACTGGTGAATTTGCAAATTCCATAAATAAAATTGTGAATTGCTCGGTAACATTTTAGCTATAATTATCGCCGGGGTATTGTTTTGTTGAAAACACGTTGAAACTTAGCGCCTGACCTCTATTAGGCACTCGAGCACTCGAAAAAAAAAGCACTCGAGCCCAATCTTTTTAGCATTAAGTCGCATACGTAAAATATCCTGTAAAAGAAGTGCTGTTCATTAACGTCATCTCGTCTTATGACCACGCAGAAATGCCTTTATGCCGAATTATTCAATCACTATTTAAATCAACATTCAGGATTGGCACAATTTCAGATTTGCGAAGTTTATCACCATAGAAATACATGAAAGTTAATTATCGTCTTAATAAATATCTGCATCACGGTATGGACAATAATATTACCATTCGCATAAAATTGGGACGGTAAATTTACAAATCTTGATAGGTAATATTAAAGCCAACGCAAATGTTAATTTGAGTCCTCAATGTCTTCAACAGCTGTTGCCGATGTGAACGAACGGGTAAACCCGAAATATAAAACTTCGATGTCCGCCGACCCACAAGAATTCATATTTGTAAAAAAGAGAGGGCGGGAATATAGATTACCCAAAACCTGGATATCGCCGCCAAAACGATCGGTGACAAGAACAATTAGCGATTACAACGGAATTAACCAGTAAAAAGGCTTTGTTGCCGATTTTTTAATGTTTTCAACACGTTTATTCGGTACTCCTAAAAATATTCGATTAAAAAATATTGAATTTTGCCCACCCGTCCTCGCATATCAATGAGAAATAGTTGTGTAAATATCGCAAAATTCCGGAAAATGCCACGTCCTTTCAACATTGTGATTACAATAAAATGGCACTTAATGGTATTTTGTGAATTTGTGATTTTGCAAATCTGTGACATGCTGCTAAAAGTTTCGTCTGATTTGAAAATCGTGCAGTTTGGTCACAATTCATCCAAAGTGACTATAACACGTTACTAACACTTTTATAGTCATTTTGAATTCATCGATATCATTGATAGTCACATGACCACTCTCTTCAAAGAAACGCCCGGGAGCGTTTTTTGCGGGAGAAGCGGAATCGTGTGCTTGTGTAATAATCATATTATAAACAAGAATTTTGCCGTTAATGCAAAAGCTTTATCTCCTATGTCTGCATCTCATAGGTTAGAATTCCGGTAAATATCGTTATGATATGCAGAATTGAGTTACAAAAGTACTAGTATGTTACTTATTTGTCAACTTAATACTCGAAAATATTTGATAACTTTGAATTTTTATTCCATTCAAAATCGGAAAAAGGTGCTATTTCTCTTCAAAATCGGAAAAAAGTGCTATTTCGCAGTCCCTAAAAAAAGTTGCGAAAGTGCTTCGCAATTTTCGCAAAAAAGTGCGCTAATAGTGAACACTGTAATTGTCAGTGCTAGGTCATCAGAAGCCGTTTGTGCACCTAGACTGGGCCATGTCTATAAGTGTGATGTAAAATGTTGCATTTCATGAACAATATTCATAGTTCTACAAAAGTAAAAGTAGAGAACAATAAACCTCATGCCAAAACTAAATTTAATTAACCTCAACAAATTCCTTGAGCTATTTTTAGCCAAAACATGAAAATTTAGCTTCAGTTGGGTTGTGGCAGCATGAGGCGGGCCAGATTGCATTACCCGCGGGACGTAGTTTGCCCATGTGAGCTGTAGAGTTTTTAAATATTCTAATGTCAAAAACTAAGTCGACTCATGTAAAAAGTGCATCAAAAAGCCTGATTTTGAATCTCTCAAAAAATTTCATTTGATATCCGGACAAATGATAAAAGATAGTTGATAAAAAAGGCCACAAATTGTCTAAAACCCACCACTTAGCCATACCGCAGACCAAAACACCACATGAATAGCCTATATAAGCATATATAGATGGACTGGTGACCAGACGAGAGGGAATGGTATGCCATATGATTGAGCAATCCCATCGCGTTTTCTTCTAATAAGAGCCAAATTATTAAGAGCTATTTGGTTGCTTACTACTGTGGATGGAAGTAGACTTCATCATTTCTGCTGTACTTGTATAGACGAAAGCTTCTGTCGAATAGGTGCTAGATGGTGTGTGCTGCATCACTTTTGAAGTTGGATTTACAATCTTCTCACATCTGATATGTACTTTTTTATAACCTTCTGGACACTCACACCTGCAAAAAGGAATTTGATATTGTTTATTTACTATTGCTACCATCTGAGCATGTGTATCTGAATCTGATTCTACATTAGATCGTGTGACAAAAATTAAATGAAACCATGGAAAAAATGTATAATATTCAACTATTCAGTTTGTATAGTAAATGTTATTTTATATGATGATCACTACTTTGAGAATATCTTTTATATAAATTGATAATATATTAGAATCAAATATATACAATTCATATTTATTCAGTATAAATATGACATATCGATCATATATAAGCATGGCAGAAGCGGATTAAAGGTATCAGATGAAAAAAATTACACATACCTTGCCTTTGAAGTGGGTGAACCACCAACAGCAACCATATGTGACATACATGCCGTGGAATCTGTGTAGCATTTTACTTGATTATGTGGTTCAAAATCCACATATGTTTTTTTGAGATCATTGTATTCACAAGGAACGCAATTTGTTGAATTTGGGTTTCCAGTTCTAAACATAGATAAAAAAAAAATAGCAATTATTTATTTATGTTCTTTAATATTTGGCGCTTATTTGAGCCTTTTTCTCCAAACAAAGCACCGGTTAACACAATCAATGATATATACAGATAAGAAGTACTATATGTAAGATGTCATAATTTTTTTATTTTTTTTAACTTTCCATTCGGCGGTACTAACCCAACATTCTTACATCCCGGCCATCACAGCAAAAAGAAATATAAATGCAAATTGAAGAGAAAAAAGTCATTGTCAAAAGAGTTTCAAATCACTTCATTTGCATCAGTTGTGGGGGGGGGAAGAGGTACTAGATTTGAGCGCAACAACTCCTAACACTTACCGCACTTTGTTACCCAATCCTATCAAATTCCCGACATTACAGGTAAATTTTACAATGTTCTACAATTTTTCATTTCGTTCGAGAAAATAAATGTATGAAATTGAAACTACCTGCAATCCGCTGCTAGATAAGTTCCCATTGGACACATACAACAATTATGCCCATCAGCTGTTGTGTAAAAGCTTGCCTGAGTTTGATCTGGTGAAAAATGGCTGCATTCGGGTATCATACGCAATGGGTTCTTGATTGTCTGTTATATGAGTGGAAAGATATAAAAGATAATATTTCCTATTTATCCCAAAAGGGAGAAAATATGATGAAAGACATCTTGAATGACAGATGATTCAGTAACTAATCATCAGTTACATGTGCCAAATATTGGGCTAATAAACAAAAAAAATTGTGACTCGGCAGTGTGGAGCATCATGCTAAGCGTTGGGATTATGATTGCCATCACACTGGATCTGATAACTGGATACCAGTAAATGGAGTTATCAGATGTGGTTCACTTGACCTTCTTGTACTAGTACGAAGCCTAAGACAAACAACAAGAACGGGACATTAATTACATAACACCGCCGTCAGGTGCAGAAGTAAAATATCGACGGTGGAATACTGGAGTAAGAAATATTTGGACAAAAACTTGGAAAGCCGGACGAATATAAACCCTACTAAGAAGATACGTACAAACTTAAACCAAAACGATGCTGTTGGGTACAGTCCGATACGATAAGGATCTCATCAGATCATGCTGGCCTGCGTGGAGTTTTTCATGGAAAAGTGATCGAAGCCGGGGCTAACATAAACAGTCAAACGTCAAATGTAACAGATATTTGATGATGGATTCCATAAAAAAGAATGAATTTTGATTAAAACTGAAGTTGGAACGCCAGGGCATGAAATGCCCTTGTCAATTTTACTTCGCTTGTTGTTGTTTTCTTTTATGATGCTTTTATTATTGTTGTTTATCGTTCGGCAGACTATTAGTTGAGTGCATTAGTAATTAAATTAATTTTATTACATATTGTACATTGCTTGTTTGTTTGCATTCTACAATTCTCGTTATTTCCTTGTACGAATATAGTAGAAATTACACTCTATGATGAAACTCCACATCCACACCCAAGTATCTACACCTGAATTATCTTTCATGTCTCTCTTTTTTTAGTTTTACTCCAATGTGTTGTGTGGGGCAGTGTGGGGTAAGTCTGTAAGTGGGCACGTGCGCCAGGACGTCCTAAATCTTTTTCAGATTTTGCCCACTGTCCTGATTTGCCGTACATTTGTTTGTTTTGCCATGTATTGTTTTGTTGTATTGGGAAATCGAAATAAACTCTTACACTTACTTATTTACTTACCGGTACCACGACATTTAAAGCGGTCTTACTACTTACTGAATACAGCGCGAAACACCGCAAAACAGAGGGAAACAGCGCAAAACAGTGTGAAAACAGCACAAAACAGAGGGAAACAGTGTGAAGCAGAAAAAAATTTTGCAATGAGTTCGGGGCACCTTGTTTTGAGTTGGAGTACCACGGCAGCAAATTAAAAACACAAACCAACGTATGTAGCCAGTAATGCTGTAATGGCAGGTCTGCCCCTGCTGGTGACACATTTTGGGTACCATAATTTAGGACATTTTCCATATGGATATGGTTGGCTTTAGGGTTAGGGTTAGGTAAAAAGGGACCTCCAGAAGTATGTGCACCAAGATGGCGCACAACCTGAAAATAGTATGTGTGTGTGTGTGTGTAGCGGATTCAGGTTGTGCGACATATTGCTGCACATACTTCTGGAGCACCAAAAAGGTAGATAAAATTTCGCATGATGACCTATAATCCGGTACATAACCTAAATATGCCGGAAATAGCGCCATAAAACCATGGCGAGAGGCGCCATGGTTCTTTCGTGGCAGGAGGTGGTAATTGAAAGTGGCCTGTTTTGCGCTGTTTCCCTCTGTTTTGCGCTGGTTTTCTTCTGTTTCGCGCTATTTTGCGCTCTTTGCGGTGTTTCGCGCTGTATTCAGTAAGTAGTAAGATCCCATTTAAAGTGCCTTGGTTACAGGGTTATGTCCGCCATGCTATGTCCCACATAAAATAGCCACGATTTACCGGTACCAGCCCTGAATACAGGAATACGTATAAACTCTTAACTTACCAGGCAAAAGCAGATGTGAAAGCCCATTGACAGCATCAAACTCAAAGCAAAAAGACGAGAAAAATAACCCATGTGCAATTTGCTATGCGGTACGGAATGTCTGCTCAGTAGTTAATAGGCTAGAGACTCAGAGATTTTATTTTACTCTGCAAAGTTTTCTTGTTCACACTATCTAGGCTACGCCCTTATCGAACTTTCTGAAATATCGCCTAATGTAAGTATTCCGTACGTCTCGTGATAGCAAGAAAAAAAAATACATGGGAAATCCCCCGGTGAAACCGAGTAAACCCTATTATCAAGTGCGAATACTGAGGTGTCGATATTCTATAGGTCGTTAAAGATTTACGCCTTCGAATTGAATTCTTGGACATTTCACGGCGCAGTGATTGCGCGTTAGTAGAGCGTCCGCGTCCTCTACAAAATTAAAAAAATGTGATATATAACGGATGTTTTCCCGAGCATCGATTTCCTTGTTTATTCTACACGCAGTGGACCTATGGTCGATATGGATCGTTTTGTTATTAAGTTGTTGCAATGAGCATATATACAATGAGTGGAAACTTGCAAAGATTTGCTCATTGTGGCATTGTTCCCTGCATTTTTTACGTCGTCCAGCTGAATGGTTCGTTGCATATGGAGAAAGCATATCGCTCGCTGCAAAAATCCCTTGCTTCAGCTGGGCCGGGTGCGAAATTGGCCGTATTAAGGCCTTTAATTTTTCGATTCTTGTACGGTTTTGGGTTTCGGAGTATGGTACGCTGAAAGCATACAACTATGAGCATAGGCTATGCTCATTGGGAATGCATATCTATTAGGGAGAAAACGTAGCTACAGGACAATGAGGTCAAAAAGTGGGTTGCGGTTATTTATGTATCGGTATTCATTCATTGATATAGCATGGGTTTTAGGTACATATTTATCCAGAGGAGAGAGAGGAAGGCCTAAATACTGTTTATGGCGAACCACGGCCTCTCTCAATCATAGCTTGTTCTTAATTAAAGTGCTCCATTCAGCCATTGGACCATGAGAAATTCTATTATATTCAAAAATAAAGCACCAGATATTGCCTTACTGTACTTCAGTACTTAAAAAGCAGATAAAAATGGCCATAATACGTATAAAAAATATAGAGAATTACCGGTATAGAATAAAAAAACCATTTGGAAGAAAATTGGAAAATTAATGCAAAGCATTATTTTAAAAAGGAAATTATATGTCTATGATACGTATTTCTGTATTTGCAAAAATAAAAACGGTAAAGCCGATAAAACGGCTTAAACATATGGCGAACCTCTCTAAATCTTAGTTTCTCAAAATGATCCATACGGATTTTTAGGTACCGGTATTTGTTTACTTATGAGAATATTGACGTGGCTAGTTTCAGAGTTTTATAACTGTCCAAAAAAGCAAAGCAGAAACGGCATTAATAAAATTTGACAACGGTAGCATTAATTCAAATTAGTCGTTATCAATAAGTACTAATAGATAAATTGCCACATTTCGACACTACTTTATCAATATGTTTGTCAAATTTGTGGGATTTATAAATAATAGTTAACATCTTCACGGGCTCCATAACGCTAAGACTTTGAAAAACCATGCTGTAAATCAGTGATTCCCAAACGGTAGGGCGTTTGAGAACCACTGCTCTAAATCAATACATCGAATAGGCACGATATGTTTGTATGTAGTTGACATATTCCAAGAACCTAAATTTTGCTTTTTTAGAAAGAGAAGCATTAGAATAGGATTATAGATGAATATGTCTTTCCGTTGTTGTCTACCTGGATGTGACTTGACTTCAAAAGACTGCACACTTTTTAAAATTCCTGCAAAAAAATTTCTCTCTGGTTCTGCAAAAGAATGGGCTGATAAATTGGAAAAAATAATACTTGGATGCAGACAAGATCACCACATATATAATTTATTTCAAAGAGACATGGTGAGGATGTGTGAGCGGCATTTTGAATCAAGTGATTACAGACTAGGTAGGTACTTTATCATCCATGTATATCAGTCTATAAACAGATTCTCTAATATTGCAATAATTACATTTTTGTATTACAGTGGGAAAACAGAAAAAGCTGAATGTTGGGGCTATTCCCTCTATAAACTTGCCAAAAACTAAAAAGACTGAAAAATTTGTCAGACCGCCACCAAAAATTAGAAAAGAAACAAAACCAATTATTTTCAGGGACTTCAATGCATTCAAAAATAAGGCTTCAAATTCAACATTATTAGAAAATTGGGAATGTCTTGCATCTGAACATCGACTAACAATAAAAAAGCTATCCGAATTCGACCAACCTAGCTATTGTATTAGGGTAGATAACAATTTTAAAATTCAAATATTATATTTTGGATGGAGAGGTTGTTTGGGTTTTAATATTCAAAACAATACTGTGTTACAACTGCTGCATCATGTTGAAAGGTTAGTCATTTGCCCTGGTCTTCAACATGAAAATGGAATACCACATCTGAGAACAAAGCCTGCAGAAAATAGTGAGCTTTCCAACTATCCTCATGTGGATATAATTGCATACAGGTTAGTCAATTCATTTTAGTGTAGATTAGAATGATTTATCAATGAAGATAGTTTTGATTAGAATTAGTCAGCAATCACAGGACTATGCCAAGAAGTAACAATTCTCTTCAGATCGCAATCATGTGAAATATTCACTACTTCTGGAATATGCAGCAGCTGTTGCATGTTTACCCTCGAAAGAACAGAAAAATATTAAGCGTAGGAAAGCCTATTCAGAGAAGGTTGTGAATTTGCCTACAAAAAGGATAAGGTCAGTAAATTTAACTGAGAGACTGAACTTTCAATGCACAAAATGAAAAGTAGGTTGATTTGGTAGATGATCATTATGTGGCCAAGTGCAAAGAGTATCTATTTGATTTGAATACTGTCAAGTTATTTTAATTACACTTTTGGATTTTTATAAAATTTAAATTGGAAAGCTGTCAAAAACATTTACATACACGTCTGTTTGGCACGCTCATATCTGGCAACAAAAACATGAAATCCAATTTTATAAACGTGATTGAATATACATATAGAAGTGACAAATAATATGAAATACGGTAAGCGTAAATAAAAAAAAATTTCGACACACTTTGAAAGGTATCATGGTATTTATGTCATTACCAACTAATATTGCATCTGCATCAAGGGACATAAATATTTTGAGATCATGATAAGTGTCTAAAAAAGCCGACATGGTATTTATTAAAACCGGCATGATATTTTGGTATCTTGAGAACAATTTTATAACAGAATTACAAAGATTGCTAGTTGGCAAACATTGAAGCGTACCATGGTATTTATGTCATATAAATCGGGCAATATTTTGGTATCTTGAAGTGTCCAACAATGAAAAGTAGAGTCATTGGGAGTTGAATGAATATATGCATGCCTAGGCTAATACTTGAAATGTTTTATAACAGAATTGCTAGTTGGCACACATCGAAGGGTATCATGGTATTATGTCCTATAAATCTGGGTACTCCCGTGGTATGTGCACCAACATGGCAGACACAAGAACGTTGTGTATGTACCAGGTTAGGCCATAATTTCAGGTACAAATATATGGCTAGTCCCCAAATTCGTAATAGAAATAAATTATGGATTAACCTGATACACATACTCTGTTCCGGTGTCCGCCGTCTTGGTGCACATATTACGGAAGCCCCTAAATCTGGCATGGTATTTTGTTATCTTGAGAAGTGTCCAACAATGAAAAGTAGAGTCGTTAAGATTTGAACAAATATATGCATGATTAGGCTAATATAAATTTTTATGTTTCCTTGAAATGGCAGAAATTGCTAGTTGGCACACATCGAAGGGTATCATGGTATTTATGTCATATAAATCTGGCATGATATTTTGGTATCTTGAGATGTCCAGAGTTAAACAGATATAGTATAAATAACAGAATCACATATCTTGAAGCTGAAATAAAACAACTCCTAAAGGACACAAAAACATTTGTTCTTGTTGAAGACAGCTTTTCTGATGACTTGAGCACCATAATACAAGAAGGTAAAAGTAGTATATTTGTTTAGCTTCTAACTTCTAATCAGTAACGAAATACATTTATCAAATATTTTCTTAATCATACCACTGAATTCTGAATTATCCTTTTATATGTCTTGAACCACAGCATCACAAAAAAATGAAGTTAACAACTTTTATTCACTTTTCTAGAAAGAACAAACCAAATTAAATAGAGCATCATCATGCGGAAAAAGATACCACCCTGAAATAATCAAGGTTAATATTCACTTTTCTGGAAAGAACAAACCAAATTAAATAGAGCATCATCATGCGGAAAAAGATACCACCCTGAAATAATCAAGTAAGGAACAAAATTTTGTCTTCAAATTAAAATTGGCGATATGAATAAATAATAGATTTATATTACAGATTTTGCCTGAGTTTGGCTGCAAAAAGTCGTAGAGCTCATGAAGAACTGAGAGAAAGCGGTTTGCTCCACCTGCCGAGCAATCGAACATTAAGTGATTACAGGTCTGGCCAGTCATACTGGAACACATGCTAAATAAATCCATGTTGTAAGGGTTGTGTTGGTAGATGAGCAGATTTGACTAGTCTATTTGAATGTTACAGAAATGTTTTCCGAACCTCCCCAGGAAAACACGACCATGTTTTGGAAGAAATCAAAGCCAAAAGCATTACAATGAAAGAACATGAAAAATACATAGTATTATCCATTGATGAAATGAAAGGTGACAGATTAATTAATAAAAAATTAATTCATTATATAGTGTACAGAAGCCATAGAAAATATTTTCTATTACAAAAAATTAGCCCCATTGTAAAAAGCAGTCATTATGAGTTACAGAAAAATTAGTTCACATAGCAAAAAGCAGTCATTGGAAATATTTTGCATTACAGGAAAAAATAGCTGAAATAGTGAATAGCAGTCATAGGAAATATTTGACACTGCAGAAAAAATAGTTCACATAGTAAATAGTAGTCATATAAAAGATTTTTGCATTACAGTAAAAGAGAATTTAGCATATAATTCGGCAACCGATGAAATGGTAGGTTTCGTTGACCTCGGTCCAAGTAGAGGAAAAGATGAAAATTCTGCAGCTACATAGCCTTACAATTTTACATTCGATCAATAGCAGGCAAATTTTCGAGACCATTGGTATTTTACCCAACTCATGCAGTTAAAGCAAACACCCTTGTTAGCATGGTTTGGCAAGCAGTGGCAGCTTTGGACAAATATGACCTGAAAGTGATTGCAGTAGTTGCTGATGGAGCATCATGTAATCGTAATATGTTTACTCTAATGAACAATAAGAAACAGGAATTTCCTCAAAGCTGAATTAACATTTATAGACCAGAGCTGAAATTTTTTTGATTTCGGACCCCCCACATCTCTTGAAAACAACATGCAATAACATTCGATCTAGTAGTTACAACGGCACCAGATTTTTGAAATACAATGAAAAATATATTTTGTGGGATCATTTTCGAAAAGTTCCAAATTTTTTTGCATCAGAAGAACTCCGTTGTTGTAAACTGACAGAGGCACATTTTTCAAATCAGAGCTTTTCAAAAATGAGGGTTTGCTATGCAGCAAATATACTTTCAGGCACAGTTTCAAGGCTAATGACACATAAAGGAGGGGAAGAGATGGAGAGAAGTGCTTGGATTGACAGGATAATGAATAAGTGGTTTGATTTGATGAACACAAGAATAAATTATAAATATAACAAAGATCTCAGACCATACATAGACCCTAATGATGACAGACTAAATTGGCTCGAACACACCTTTACAGGAGAATTGAACGATTGGAAAAAAAGTTTGACAGGAGCTACACCACAAGAAAAAGCGAAACAATTTCTAAGTCATCAAACCTACCAAGGTCTTATTTCAACAACAGCAGCTATGGTCAAGTTGGTTAGATTTTTGCTAAACAAAACAAAACCAGGAATTTATATTCAGACAAAAAGAATAAATCAGGACCCATTAGAAGCATACTTTGGTCATATGAGACAAATTGGTAGAAAGTGTGAAGCTCCAGATCTAAATCAATAAAATGCCACAATAATAAAAATAACAGTACAGTCTATTTTAGTGACTTCCTAAGACTCACGTTTTGGTCGTGTTTCAGCTGAAATTTCTTATTCAGGGTCTTAGCTTTTTGAAAACATCTTATTTTAACAAAAAATTCACATATTTTCCAAAGAATCTCTATAAATTTGTCATTAACTTGGCCAAAAGGTTTGAATAATGTCACTACCTTGATAGAGTTTAATATTGATGCCATCACATTCTCAGAGGAATAATATTTACGAAAGTTAAGTTCTACCTCTGCAAGCATATCTGTGATTTTAGAAACCGGTTTCACCAATGTTCCATAATCCTTATTCTCAAGGATATTTATTAAAGATGACCCGGCGACAGATGAATCATCAGAAATAAGTTCATTGATTATGTTGTACTGCATTTCTGTCTTTGATTTTTTTCTTAATTTTTGTAAAATATAACCCCCTATGTATTCCACTATAGCTAATTCCTCATCTGTGACTATTGTTTCAGCTGGTTGTATCTTATCTTTTTCATCTAGAAATCGCTCGAAATGGTCAAAAACTATGCGTGTTTGCTCGAGAGCAGTGTGGCGGTTTATTGATGGGAAGAGATTCGGAATTACAGTCACTGCGTCACAGCTGAATCTCAACATTGAGTTTTCTTTATGTAATAACTTGAAATATTGTATAGCGTCATGTGACAAGTGTTCATCTTTTCCCCCTGCACTTCTCCACCATTCTTTGATTAGGGATTCAGGAACCAGTTGAGTTGTACCTGAAAAATCAGAGCACTGAAAAGAATATACTAAATGCGGTGGTAAAAATGTACAGATAAAAAAATTAAAAAAAAACTCACAAGTGCGGTGATGATGTAATATAAAATCCCCACAGTCTTCAAAACACATATGACATTTGTTGCAACTAAAAAGTAAATATTTCAATGGCCAAATCTGAAAACTTATACATCCTAGTGCAGGGTCGTCCTACCCGTGGCCGCAAAAGAGTTCAGAGTGGCCCGCACAGTATTTTTCAAAATTGAATAAACCAAACTTAACCCGATGTCTCCCACAAATTTGAGCCACCTCTTGTAAAAAATTAAGCGAAATAATAATAAAAATTTTATTCTCCGTCGGTCAAACACGCGAGAGACACTATTAAATGAAATTTAGTCATTGCGTAAAATGTTCTGTTCAGATATTCGCAATAGCTTTGTGCAACGTGGAAATTGTAACATGAATCAAAACATGTATATATATATCTATTCAAGTTTGCGGCCCACAATGAGTTTTCTCGTGTAGGAGTGGCCCGTTGGACATCCCTGTCCTAGTGTATCACTGTTAATCTGTGTAAGCTTTCACATTCAAAAATAAAACAATATGATAACATGTCGCTTTTCACATCAGTAAAACATGTGAACATTCGAGTAGAGGTAAGTTCAATCTTCAGAGGCCTTCAGTGTTGGTCTATAGATTATAAAATTCTTAAAATACAGTATGAAAAAGCTATGGTAGGATACTCACCGATGAATTTTCTTACTGGATGATGAATCTACTTAATCATCTTTAAAAATGATCTCAACAACAACTTCGCAATCCAGATTGAAGCTATTAGAATTCATAGCTCTGTTGGTGATCACTGTGTTATATTCAGAATATTGTAGTACACAGTTATACGCTATAAACTAGTGCTGACAAAACCATATTGATCTAAAATACGGCACTAGTCTATTCTAATGATGCATATTTTTTTTTTGGATAAGCAAAATTTCTTTGAACATGTCAGCCAAATACAAACATATCGCACCCATTCAACGTATAGATTTAGAGCAGTGATTCTTAAACTTTTCAAGCTACGCTCCCTTTTTTTCTAGATCCCCACCTCAGTCTTGCACCCCACCTCAGAAATGATTAGCTAACAATAAGCTACCGTACAAATAACGGTGCTCCATAACTATGGAGGTTACTAATTTTGTTCAGCTATTTTACATCAAGTGTAAGGGACTTGAACTTATGGGCAGAGAATATTCACTTGGCTAGGTAGTCCCCTAACTTGTAATAAACTAAAATAAGGAAAATCGGAATAAAATTATGGCCTAACCCTACCTGGCACACATAACATGCTAGGGCAGTAACCAAATACTAGTAGTACTGGTACTGTGGTAGTAAACTTATCCACTTTCCTCTCCCCTGGATGAATATGTACCGGCTCAAGGCGCGGCTCAATGGGCTAAGCGTTAGGAATACGCTCGCCACCGCACCTTTAATTACTCTGCGTGGGTTCGCAGGTTCGAATCCCATGCAGAGATGGTCATGTGCAAGAGGATTGCTGGACTCCTCGCCGTCGTTGGGTGGTTCACGTAACCGCTGGTCGGTTACCGGTACGGCTTCCTCCACCACCAAGTCCATACTTCCGGAAACAAACAATATAACTAATCCCATACCCGACTTGGAATGGTAACCGGACAAGAGGACGTGGTTCGCCATATGGATAAGCCGTCTTATCGGCTTTCCTCTTCCCCGAGATATATATGTAAATCCTATCCTAAATCCCATGCTATATCAATAAATGGATACAGAAATAACCACAACGTACAACCCACTTCTTGACCTCATATTCTGTGCTGTAGCCACGTTTTCTCCCTAATAGATATGCATTCCCAATAAGCGTATGCTCGTAGTTAGTATACTTTCAACGTACCAAACTTCGAAACCCAAAACCGAACTTGAATAGAAAAATTAAAGGCCAATTTCGCACCCGGCCCAGCTGAAGCAAGGGATTTTTGCAGCGAGCGATATGCTTTCTCCATATGCAACGAACCATTCAGCTGGACGACGTAAAAATGCAGGGAACAATGCCACAATGAGCAAATCTTTGCAAGTTTCCACTCATTGTATATATGCTCATTGGTTGTTGTTATTGGACACGTAGTGGGCATAACGATCGTTTTGTTGTTCTTGTTCACTGACAAGTTTTGAAAGAAATCGCTTTTCTCTTTGATTACTGGACCAATTGCTTTGAAATTTTCAGTGGTTAAAGATAGAATTTTTTTCCAGAAGGCTATTACTTTTATTTATTTCAAAATTTATTGTGGACTTCGAGAGATTCGTTTTTTGTGTGCAAATTGGTGATCACAATGAAAAATAGCGAAAACTTGTGGCGATTGCGGCGAAGAAGCGAACGTGATTCTTGCTCGCTGAGAGTTGTTGTGAACAAAGTGACTATAAACCAAGTAGGCCGCGAGCCGAGGCCCTGAAAAACGCATAGAAAGTGAGTTTCGTAGCGCACATCAGGTAACTACCTGAAAATGATCTTAAAATGTTTCTAAAAATTTAGTAACAAATATTGCCTTGTTCCCACTTCCAAAAGTTGCACGTTTTACGGAAAAGACGCTTTTACTACAAGAAATATGTGCTACCGATCTGTCCTATATTCTCTTACATTTCGGCAATGAACAATGACTTCTGCATGACGTAACAATTGAATCGAATCAGCTGTTAGCGAGCGGATGAATATTAGTTATTACTGCTCGACCTTGCGTTGAGTTGGGCAATGAGCATATATATATGCTCATTGAGTTGGGCAGCCTTTCCATAGCCCTGTAGTCAATATTAGCCCAGAAAATGAGTTTCGTAGCGCACATCTGGTAACTAAATAAATTCTTCAGTTTTGTGTGAAAATGAACATACTGAACGCATTACAGCTTGTTCCACAATCCTGATGCGAAATTGAATATAAGCGGTTCTCGGAAATTCAATAACCATAAGTTCACAACACATACATAAGAACTATGTAATTCGAGAGCCCTACAGCACACTAACACAAATGTATTCCTGTAATGTTTTTGCCTGACCAAAATCGGACTTCCTAAGTCAATCATTATTTGTTAGGTAGATTACGAAAAATATGGCATACATGTAACCAACAACAAAAAAATACTTCAATTGTGTGACAGGAGTCGCGAGTGAACCTCGAAAGCAGCGACACCAACAACGCTGATTCACATTAGCGAATAAATTTTATGTAATAACCACAAGCAGTTTACAACTAAGAACAGCATAAAAAAGCTACATCCATTTTATAGAAAGCTATCAAACGTATTTATTTTTAAGCAATGAAGTCACAACATTAACATCGTGAGCAACGAAAACACAAATAAATCAGTTATTTCTCACTTAGAAATTTACCGGAAAAGTCAAGAAAATTAAATGAATGTACAATATGTACATAACATAGTGAACAGAAATATTACAATTAGTCTTTTTTTTAAATTATGTGGTTATGTATTTGAACAAAGGCAATATTATTTCTAGAAACAGGACTACGACACTAACAAATGTCCGGAAAAAACAAACAAATAAATGATACTTATTAAATCAACTGCAATATCTAATTCACTTTCTTCTGAATTGTTTTCGAAATCCACTATCTCGAAAATCGACTTTTCCTCTATAAGTGTACTGTGATTTTTGCAGTCAATACAAAAACAAAAATCTGTGCAATTTAAGTTGATTTTGGCACACTTGCATAAATTATTTTGACTATTTTTCTTACACTTGCAGTTTGCCAACTCAAGAACTGATTTGAGGGCCACATGCTTCTTCAGTGAATCATTGTTGGGTGGGGGAGTGGGCTATAATTCTTATGTTTGCCAGTGTTAAATAGACGTGCCCTGGTATCATTTACATTCTTCATATCCTCTTCATACAGTAAACAAACAAGTTCCTCAGCTTTATTTATTAATGCCTCGTTAACCTCAAAAGATCTTCATGTTGAGAAAAAATGAATTGAAAACTTCAATGAAGTCTCCAACATGAGTTTGATGGGCACATCTAAGCTGTTTGCAACTATTATGATTCTCATATACCTGTACGCTTCAAGACTTCTTGTTTAATCCATTTTATAGCACTGATAGCAGCAGGGATTAGAGCCTGCGTTAGGTCGGATTGGTGGAACATTGCCGTTTTCTTTTGTAATACAGTATCTAAAATGAGGAAGAAAATCATATTTGGAACAGCATGAGTGTAAAAATACCACTAAATACTAACTAATACCTTGAATACATAATGCATTTTATCTGATGTACTCAATGAGCGTATATATGCTCATTGCATGTACTACAGTCCAGCAGTGTTTGCATACCATTACTAGACTATATCTACACTAACTTTTGATATATCACAGTCTGAAATGCCCTATGACAGTATGAGTATAGACTATATTTTGAAAAATCAACTGTCTGTCTACAACTTGATTTCTCACCTCTCAATCGTTTCCAATGCTACTTTCTTTCCACTCCGGCATAACTTATCATTGCTTCCCAGGTTCTTGTCGACTATATGAATTTAGATTTAGACCAACCGACATTAGTAAAATTGATTATTTTCTTCTCTTTCACACAACCGTGCATTACAGAAACGGCCATTAATTTCTATTTCCAAATATGCTGTGGTCTATAAGTAGTATAAGTCTGCTGAATAGTCAAGAACAGTCATTAAATTAGACTAATTATAAACATTTCATGCAAGCCAGAAAATATCGTTGTTTGTGACATTTATTATTCAGGTCTAGCCTTCCTTGGAGTTACCTTGGAGTATGTATGTATGTATGTTTATTCGTCTCGTAAAAGCAATATAAAAGAGTAAGTACTTATAAATACTGAAGACGGGATGTATGCACAAGACCATATTGGCCTAAAACACAGATGTGCGGCATACACCCCTTTGATTTATATAAATTATAATAGGGTAAATCAAATATGTACAATATGGTCCTTTATACAGGCAGTTGTGCGAGGAGGGTGGGTGGATGCGGTAACAGGGATATGGGTGGAGTGTACAAAACTGTTTGTACAAAGGAGTTTGTTAGACAAAACAACATCTATAAATAGAGACACAACACAACATGAAACACAATGCATATGAATATAGTAATAAAATTTTTTAAAAAAAAAAAATTAAGAATTTGGATGAATGTACAATACCATTGAGTGATGATACCACATACTATAAAACGCGGGAATGGTCAAGTTTAAAGGGTGTGTACATATATGGTATGCACCACTCAAGGGCGACAGTGTTATAAGTGGTCTATGGCTGTTCTGGCCAAAATGTGACCCTACAGGTTTTGGCGAAATATGATAAAAAAGGTATGTATCAAATGACTCACTATTATAAGGTTTTTTTTGAAATTCTGGATTCAGCCAAAAACAATGAAGTTTCAAAAAAAAAAAAAAAAAAATTAATAAAAAGCATTTCCACAAAACCTATTATGGTTGCATTTCAGCCAGAAGATTAGAAAGGTATAAAGGTACAGTGGGATAGGGAATGATAAGTTATAAAGAGAAGCCATTTTACCATGTCATGGATTTTCCAATGTAAATTAAAATAATAAAATTATATGGTATCCTGGGATGAGCAGAAGAAAAAGTGTGATTCGGTGATAGGTAGCAACAATGGAAATAAATTGAACAGCATGCTACTCAAACAAAAACCATTGTCCCTACTCCCTACTATTTGAGCATTCTATCTATAACCTAAATTGCTGTGCTTTTGTTGTTGTCTAATTACGCATGATAATGAAATTAGAATGGTGTGCTAGTTATTAATTCAGTCCATTGTTCTATATTGAATCCGGGTGAAGTATCCTGTGGAGTTATTGAAATTGTCAGCTGGTCTATGGTGACTGAAGAGGAGGACAGTTTCCTGATAGTTCATTCAATCCAAATAATCAACAGCTCTCCCTTTCAGTGTTGAACTGACCTTAAAAAAATAATCTCCAAACAGTAACATGTTCAAAGCAGAGAAAATTGCTAATATGATGATAATATATATTGTTTAAGTTTGGAACGAAATTCTGAGTTCGATTTTGAATTTTTGATGTCATCGGGTAGGGAATTCCAAGCTTTTGGTCCACATACTGCGATTGATTCTTGTGAAATACTTTTACTGACAAATGGAATAAAAAAATTATCTTTATTTCTGCTGTTTGAATTTGGGTTTGCTTGGAACAGGCTGTTCAGGCTGGACGGAAGCTCTCCAATGTGACAAGAGAACATCATATTACATAGTTCGAATTTAGCTAAATCCACAACTCGTAGTAGCCTATGCTCTTTAAATAAGTCATCAATTTTTTCGCGATTACCTCTATGAAAAACTCTTCTAATAAAGCGATTGCAAACACTTTGAATTTTTTTGAGAATGGACGATTGGCGATGAACATAAGCTGAGGCACAATAACGAATATGGCTTTCTATCAGAGAGTGGTATAGAGATATTAAACAAGATGTATTTAAGTAGTTGGCTATTTTCGTAATGGCACTAAGAGACGACCTTGTT